GGCAAGCGCAAGGTCGTGAGTTCGGTCCCCGGTACCTAAACACAAAAAAAAAAAAAAAAAAAAAGAAGCTGATAGTGTCCTAGCTCTTGGGAAGCTGAGGCAGGAGGATCACCATGAATTCGAGGTCACCATGGGTTTTGTGGTGAGTTCAAAGCCAGCCTGAACGACATAGTAAGACCCTGTCTCAAAAAACAAAACAACAAGTTTACAGTATAAAAAAGGTATAGTTATGCCTTATTTTCACATTCTTAACACATGAAAACTGAACAGAGGCTTTCGCCTCTAGCCAACCAGAGTAACTGGAAAGTGTAACATGCCATCATAAGCAGCCAGAGACTGGATGAAGCAGTTTTTCAAAACAAGGCTGCACAATACTGTGGTCTCAAAAAGAAGAAAATAAGCCTCCTTTTCTGCCACCACTGTAGCACCAGCAAGGGACCCATCCCACCATTTCTGTCTGTAACTCACTATTATTTGTCTGTCTGTTTTCCTGAGAAACTATCTGGAAGATACCAATAGGTAAAGTAACAGCCATTGATAATGTCCTACCACTATGTCTGTAATTCGGTGAATCCCCCTATTGTTATGTTGTCCTTCTTTTGCTCTTTTAAATAAATTAGAAAAAAAAAAAAAGGAAGAAAGGGAGTCCAAGCAGAGCAAGGTGGCCCTGTGAATTCAGGGGACAGAGACGGAGCTTAGCGAGCTCAAGCAGTCTCAGTGCACACAACAGAGCAGAAGACGACGTGTACAGAAATGACGGCAGCAGTGTGCAGAGTCCTGTCCCTGAGCACTCCCGCAACCAGTACGCTGCATAGGTGAATCTGGGAAAAGAAGCAGGAAGTGTAAGGAACAAAGTCAGGGTCCCCACAGCACCGGGAAGCATTCAACCCTGACCAGGCAGAGTGGAGAGATCTCCGCTATGAATTTGAGACCCCACACTTGAGTTCCAAGGCTAAACTAGCCCTAAAGAAATGTTCAAAAGGCCCTAGCTGAGACGTAAGTAACCTAATTCCAACAAAACCAAACAACATTCTTGAAAGGGAAACAATAAACCAGATGTGGTAGCGCACGCCTGTAATCCCAGCACCCTGGAGGCCGAGGCAGGAGGATGCAGCGAGTTTGAGGCCAGCCTGGGCTACACAGTGAGTGGAAGACCAGCTTGGATGAGCTGGTGAGACCCTCTCAAAAATCAAAAAAAGAAAGGGAGGGGCGGGACATTATAATCTATTCATCACAGCAGCATTCAAAATATTCACCACCCAATCTGAAGTTATTAGACATGAAAAGCAGTGGAAAATGTGATCCATAGCTAAGAAAAAACAGCCAACAGAAAAGCATCAGAAAATTAACAATTTCAATGAAAATTAGTAGACTTCAAATGATTATAAATATGTCCATAAATTTAAAGGAATAAGGATATAAAAACAGAAATGTTAACTATAATGAAAACTCACTGGACAGGCCTTCCAGCAAACTAGACACTGCTGAAGAAGAGAAGAATGGACTTGCAGACCCGGCCGCAGAAACGCACCAAGATGATGCAAAAATGTGAGGGAGGAGGGTAGACCACGGCCTGTGGCCCCCACCGAGAGACTGAGCGTACACGGGCTCACAGTGCAGAGAAGCCGGGAGGCAGGGCTGCAACGACGGTCCGCAGGCAAAAACACAGATACCAAGAGAGGCCAGGCGGGGGGCACCTGCTTGTGACCCAGGCGGTGGAAGGCTGAGGTGGGAGGATGGCAAGCTCAACCCCAGCCCGGGCAACTTGGGAACTTAACAAGACCCTGTCTCAAAATAAACAATAAAAAGGGCTGGGGATGTAGCTCAGTGCAAAGGTCCTGGGTTCAACCCCAAGACCAGAAACAAAACAAAACAACAAAAACCAAAAACCCTGAAGCCATAATAGGCAAAAGTGATTTAAAACCAATGAATTCACAGATGCAAGAAGCATAACGAACAGCCAGGCAGAAAATCCACTGAGGAATATCGTTACCAAGCTACTTACAACCAGTGATGAAGAAAAATGTGTGTAAGGGGGAGAACAACAGGAGTCCACACGGCGACTTACGCACAGCAGCTCAGGACCAGAGTGAGGCTGAGGCTCCACGGAAACCACACGAAGTGAAGGCGAAAGGGTAACACCTTCGTAACAGGAAGCGGGACGGACCTTCAGACCAGGAATTCAGTAACCACAGAAAATAATTTCTCAACCAGTATCTGTGTTCTCATCAGAGGGACAGAAAAACCTCAAAAACGTGAGACAACCGAGAAAGTACACAAGAGAGTGGTAAATGTGAACATACAGTGACAGACCTACATAAAACGAAAAGGCGGAACATACAAATGAACATCACTGAGCTGTGGGGACGCTGAGGGGATGCGCATGTCTGGAACCGGTGCCCCTAAGACAGGACAGGAAGGGAGATGACAGAGTAATGGTTAACCATTTTGCCAAACTTGATGGAAAGTATAAAACCAGAGGCAAGAACTCAGAGAATCCCAGCAAGAAACACGAGGAAAACTAAACCAAGGTATACCTTAAGAAAATTTTGTAGTGACTGAACAGAAAGCCTTCCAAGCAGCCAGAGAAAAGACATTCTATACAGTGTGAAAGTAGCAATGGCCACAAACTTAGCACAAAAAAGGCCAGAAAACCATGAAGCTACATCTGGCTGGAATTCAATACCAAGTGAAAGTGGCCTTCCAAAAGGAAGGCCATGTAAATCACTTGTAGACCAAAATAGGTACTTTGCTTAAGGAAAACACCCTGTAACTGTAACAAATACACCACTTCAATGATAAATATTTTTCTTCTCCATAATGACTTGGGTAAACAGATGTTCTGAAACTGTTCGGAATTAGAGAAGTGGAAACTATAAACCACTGTTAGTATATATTCTTTTACAATTGAGGTAAAGTTGCACTATGTGTTTAAGAAAGAATGTAGTATTCACTTCTGTGATGGAAATTTTGAAGCTACAGCTATTAGAGGTATAAATTCCTGTAATTCTTTATTTCCAACAACTTATGTTTAAAAGAAAGTGATTATTTCTTATGCATCTTTGTATTTTTTGCTCTCCATTCAACTATATGCTCAAACTCTACTGTATCTAATTCAAAATGAAAGAATATTTTATATCTGATCAAGCTATTCTGAGCATTCACTTTAAAAGCCCATAACTATGTATTACATTCCCTGAATCGTAATCACTCACAGATCCCGTAATTTCTGAGGCCTGCATGTTATAAATTACCTTGAAAACACTGGAAGTAGCCAATATTTCTTTTCGTCACCAAACACTTGTCTCCAATTTTTACTGCATCCGAGAGAGAAACCATTTCCATCAGGTCCATATGAAAACGTAGGTGCACGGAATGATTCTATTAAAAAAATGCGCTAATTAATCTATTTAAAAGTTAGAAAAGAAATGGAAAATAACAATTTCCTTATGTTAAATCATAGTATACTTGCAGCAATTACAAAATAACTAGAAATGGTAACAGGTGATAAACAAATTACCCTGAGCTGATTATTACACATTACATGCATGTTGTACTGTATCCCGTAAGTATGCACTATTAGCATGTGTTAATTTAAGTTCTATTTTTAACAAGATAAACTTCTGAAACTGAGAAAAATACAATTTTAATTTCATCAACTATATAAAATAACACGTTAAAATAATTATCTAGTTTTACTGGAAATTCTTTTTTTTTCTTTTTTTAGGTCTTTTTGAGGCAGGGTCTCGCTATGCAGTTCAGGCTGGCCTTGAGCTCACTTTGTAGCCTAGGCTGGTCTCAAACTCATGATGATCCTCCTGCCTCAGCCTCCCAAGTGCTGGGATTACAGGTGTGCCCCACCACACCTGGCTTTTACTGGAAATTCTAATGGGTTATCTTTTTTTAGAAGAGATACTCAAAACCACTCCAACTTTATTCTTATTTATGAACTTCCTGTCATGAGACTGGGGACCCAGAGATAGAAGCTGATGAAGTTCTGCCTAGGAACCTGCAGGGCAGCAGAGCTGTGGCGTGGAAACAGTGGCAGGGGCACAGGGGAGCACGCGGGTGAGGAGGCAGACTGTCCGGCTCGGAGCTGCGCGTGGCCGGGCAGCAGCAGGGACGGCGGGAGCGGGGGCCGTGCACTTGAGGGTGATCTTGAGCGATAAGCGCAGAGACAGCGAGGGTTACAGGTTGTTTTTCGAGTATGGCTGTCACGTAAGATAGGGGGAGGTCTCAATGGAAGGCACAGATGTCTAAAGTTTTATCTCTGTATTTAGAAACAGGGCAGTCCAGCATGTTTTTTAAACTATGGCTAAGAAGCAGAGCTAGTTTCTTGGGCGAAACTGATGATGTACAACAGTAAGGTAAAAACTGAGGGTTGGATGTTGTGGTGCATACCTTCAGTCCCAGCACTCAGGAGGCTGAGGCAGGAAGATCACTGCAAGTTTGAGGCCAGTCTGGGATACACGGTGGGTTCAAGGCCAGCCTGAACTACACAGCGCGACCCTGTCTCAAACTGCCCGCCTCCCCAACCAAAACCCTAACTCTGAAGGAAGGGGTCTCAGAAGAGATGGGAGGCCGCCATCTTTCCTCAGAGGGTGGAGGGGAGTGGCAGGTGCGGAAGGAGCAAGGTCTGAGAGGTTACAAAGGCGGAAGGCGCGTTTGCTCGCGCTCTCGGAGCTGTGTGTGCAGAACTCATGCGGGTAAGGGGAGAGGGAAACGGTGCCAGCGTGGACTTGCGCTGTGGGTCAGCAGGTAAGGCACGGACCAGAAACGTGACACTGCAGCCAGAGTGGAGGGCCACAGTGAGGCCTGAGACCCGCACCCTGTGGGTGCGACAACCAACGCGGGAGTGAGACTCCTCCCCCTGCCAGCTGTCAGCGGTCCTGGTGTCCGCGTGCAGATGGGTGGCTGGAAAGCCGGGCCTCGGGGGAGCAAGGACCGCGGGAGGCAACCTGGGGCAAAAGATGGAGGGTGCAGTGCAGGGCTGCTCAAGCCATTTCTCACGGAGCCTTGACCGGACGAGGGTGAGACATGAAACCAGGAGAGAGAGAAACGCCGGGAGAAAAGTGTTGGAACGTTCACAAAACTAAGTGCATTAGGTTGTGGAAAAGGGACAATGAAGGACTAGAAGACTGCAGTCAAAAGAATGGAACATTTCAGTCGAAAACTTCACCCTTTTCTTGTTGTTGTTTTGGTTTTTCTCGGGTACCGGGAACCGCACTCACGACCTTGCGCTTGCCAGGCAGGCGCTGTGCCGCTGAGCTACGTCCCCAGCCCCCGCACACTTCACCTTTAGAGCGTCCTCAGTTCTAAGGGATGAAAGGCTCAGGGTGTGGTCACGCGAACAAGAAGCCGCGACCACCAGGGGCTACCTTGCCCGCTGGGGACAACGGCCTCGGTCTGCACGCGGGTGTCACTCCGCGTGGGAGGCGAGCTGTGCTGAGCGCCAGCTATGACGCGCAGAGGCCCCACCAAGACAGAAGAAGGAAAATCCTGACGCGGCCGGGAGAACTGGCCAGCGGTGCGCGAGGAGGAGGCTGGCCGGGACACGGCAGCAAGGCGACGTGCCTCAGAGCGTGGGCCAGGCCACGCGAGCAGGCCACGCAACCACGGAAGAGCCGTGAGCTACAGCGCGAAGCACGAGCTCACAGAGCCCACAGGCGAGACTGACGACGCGCTGTGAAACTCACTTCCGTGATCCTGTAAGTCTGCACACACCACGTCATGATTAAAACGCCTCCTTACTGCGCCCGCTGGTGAAAAAGATTGTTCACAGAAGTGGTTTCCCCGGAAACGCTCCTCTCACCCAGACCCGCAGGGTGAGCAGAAGCGGGGCAGCGCCAGGCCAGCGCGCAGGCAGCCGACGAAAGCACTTCCACACCGTCTACGGTGGGCGGCTGCCCCTCGGCTCAGACCGGCCCACGGCAGGCGGGAAACCAGCCCGTGACTATCAGACTTGTCCCTCGGGAAGCAAGCATTCCGGCTTTTCTTAACGTGGAATCTTTTCGTTTTCTGCTGAAGGTTTTAAGGAGTGGCCTTTGTCGGTATGGCAACTTTCTGTTACCTCTGATTAGGAGTAAGGAGATAGCAAGACGTTCTGTGAAGACGATCAGATCAGCTAATAGATGCAAGAAATTTTACCCGCATGCAGAAAGGATGAAGGAGTGATGGAAGGGGAGGAGCCAGGCTGGGGCAGGAAGGGTGCGGAAACCCTCAGCCTGGAAGCCACCACTTCCGTGGCCTAGTAACACACGAGGTTGGAACGGCCCAAACGTAACTGCCATCTGCCCCTCAGGCTCCCTTCAGCATTCTGTACCACAAACTGTTTCCAAGCTGGGTGTGGGGGCACTGCTGCCAAGGTAGCATTCGGAAGGCTGAGGCAGGAGGGTCACTGAGAGTCTGAGGCTGGCCGATGGCCGCACAGTGAGACGGGCCTCCTCCCAACGCTCCGGGCAGACAGGAGTCTGCGAAGGCAGGTGATCGTCAGCCTCCTTTTTATCTGAGGTACTGGGGATCAGACCCAGAGCCTCTGAGCCAAGACCCATCCCCAGGTCTCTTTTCAGAACACGTCCTGCTGAACTGCCAGGCTGGCCTCCGACTCTCACCCCTCCCGCCTCAGCCCCCCAGTGTGTGCGCACGCTTGCTTATCTGCAGTGCTGGAGACTGACCCAGAGCCCGGCGCGTGCTAGGCAGGCGGCGCTCTTTACTAAAACCCCGATTTCACATGCACTCGATTACTGAAATTCTGCGTCACTCGAAGCCCTTCAGCACAATGAGCCTTTGTGTGTGTTCGTATCCAATCCGCTTAACGCAGAACCACTCCACACCGCTCTGTCACCTGACCGCTGCCCTCGTCTGGACTGCGTGCTCACCCGCGCTCATTTACTCTGGCCTTTTACCTACAGTTGTTCTGTTTTTCCCGACGAGCCAGCAGTGGTAGCTGAACAGTGACAGGACACTGATGAAGAACATTGCAGACACGAAGAAAAGGAAAAGTATGTGGAATTTTGCTCGCGTATCTGTCAGTTCATTCTGAGGAAAGGAGAAAAAAAGTTAATTTTGAGGATATTAAGCCTTTAAAGTATAACATAATTTAGTTCTGTTTACAGACTGCTGAGTCCAACAAAAAATTTTAAAACCGCTCTTAAATACATAAAATGTTACAGCATCTCTCAGTATCAAAGGAAGGGATGAACTCTTCCGCCTAACCATTTTCTTTCCTACCAAGCTCTCCTCAGCATCCAGTCTGTGCTAAAGTATTTTTTTTTTTTTTTTACTTTAATCACATGCGCTGTCATCAGAAACTCAAGCGGATATACTGAAGTCTTTCTTTTTCGTATCAGGAATCGAACTCAGGACCCTGTGCTTGCCAGGCAGGCGCCTATGCCGCTGAGCTACGTCCTCAGCCCACACTGAACTTTTACGTTGTGTTTCTCAGGTCTTATTTCTGGGACAGCACTGCACAGGTGCCTGGGCCTTTACTGTCACACTGACCTCCTCACCTCCCTCTCTGCAGAGGCTGCAAGGCAGCCAGCAATCTGGGTAAATACATCAGCCGGGAGGTACTGAATGGAAAGAGCTTCTCGGTTATTCTTCCTTACAGCTACAAGAACCCATCCTTCTATTAAGTTATGCAAGCATCTGACAGACAGTAAGGAAGGTTACTGAGAATGAGATCATTCTTGTTGTTTCTGGCACAGGGGATTCAACTAAGGCCTTACACGCTCTACGACTGAGCTACCCCTAGCCATACATTAGACTGTTTTGGTATTTCCCTTTCTCCCACTTTACCTCTTAAGTGATTCGTTTATCTCACTATCCCACGAGGAAAAATTTTTATTACAAAATTTGCTATAAAATGCCACAAAAGAGACAATGCGAATGTCATGGGAATGGTGTGCTTTACCTTTGGACAATTCTCTGTAGATTTCCTGCGGCAAAGCTTGTGCAAATAGAGACAATGTATTAAGAAACCAATTTTTATGCAAAATTATCCTGAACACCCGAGCACTGTGCTATAAACCCCGTGTGTTTTGGAGGAACACTGAGATGTTGCTCTCTAATGGTTATGTACAGCATCTTCTCAAAAATTCCAACAGAAATCCAGACAAAAACGTTTAGCTCTTCAAGCACAGTTCAGGTACCTTTTCAACACGTACCTTTCCACTCAATTTTTAATAGACTCATGTCTAGAAAGAGTATAACGTATTAGCAAGCACATACTGCTCTAAACATTTGGTTAACGGTTTCTATAAACTAGAACTGAAGTCAGGTGTGGTGGCACACACCTGCAATTCCAGCACTTGGGAGGCTGAGGCAGGAGGATCACTGCCAGTTCAAGGCCAGCCTGAACTACATAGCTGCCTGTCCAGAAGGCAGTCAGCAGCAGCGATCTTTAACTGTGTTCTGCAGAGAGGGTAATACACATGTGTGCGCCTTCCTACGGCAGCACCTTGTGCTTTTCACACAACACCTCTCAAGGACGTCACACTGCTTGTCACTCAGAGCTTCCTTATTCTTTCTCAGATGCACTGCAGTCCTTTCTACAGACACACTAGACCCTACTGATTAGACGTTTGTTTCTGACCATTTGCCATTTATTAAAAAATGCTGAAAATCTACACAGATAGGAAACAGCCGAGAGGTGCCTGGAGTGCAGGTGCCACCTTACTGTAAAGGTGCGAACTGGCTCAAGTCGCAGAAAAGCAGTTACTTCTTAGAGCAGGGACTCTGCGACAGTGTGGCTGAGAGTAACGCGGACAACCTAGAAAAGCTCCCGGTGTCTTGTGTGATGTCCATTTGTTTACAAATAAAGCTGCGTACGAATGTGAAGGTAGATTAGGTTCTGTCCGTCCTCTGAACCATTAAAAAGTCTAACTAGTAAAATTAAAGCATCAGAATAAAGGAATTCTTCAGCAATACAGCAACTTTAGAGTCTTAAATACACGTTTTAAGGTAAGACTTACCGTCCAAAATTTTATGAAGTATTCTAAAACTGTTGCTGCAATAAAAAGGCAGTACAACAGGGAATACAACAAAAACAGCATGAAGAATTTGTAATTAGAGAATCCCACACAGTTATTCACCCTAGGAGAATGAAGAAAGTCACATTATAAAAATAAGACAAGTGACAAGCTTATAGAAACAGAAAGTCAAGTGGGGATTTTTTTTGTTTTGTTTTGTTTCTCCGGTACCAGGAATCAAACTCACGACCTTGCACTTGCCAGGCAGGTGCTGTGCCGCTGAGCTAAATCCCCAGCCCTCAAGTGGGGACTGCCAAGGGCTAGGAGATAGGAAGTTGTGGAATTAAAGAGTTCTGGTTTCATTAAATTGAAAAGTCCTGAAGATTGTACAACAATGTAAATATACTTAATTCTACTACGTGGATAATACAGTAACTTTTTTATTTTTTTTAACTGATTTTATTTTTTATTTGTCTTTGTGAGACAGGGTCTTGCTATGCAGCTCAGGCTGGCCTTGAGCTCACTTTGTAGCCCCGGCTGGTTTGAACTTGCAACGATCTTCTTGCCTCAGCCTCCCGAGTGCTGGGATTACAGGCATGCATTACCACGCCCGGCTACTTTTTTATCGCAAATAAAATTTGGGGGGGGGGCAGGGGTATAGGCACCTGCTTGACAAGCATGATGTCCTAAATTTGACTTCCGGTACAAATAAATAAATAAATTTTTTGAGACAAGGTCTCACTAGGCAGTTCAGGCTGGCTACTCCGGAGCCTAGGTCAGCCTCGAACCCACGGCAATCCTTCTGCCTCAGCTTCCCCAGTGCTGGGATTACAGGTATGTCCCACCATGCCCAGCTCATAAAGAAAATAAAAGAAAAAAAATATAGATGTATCAGCCAAGTGCAGTGGCACATGCTGTAATCTCAGCTACTCTGTAAGCTGAGGTAGGAAGGTCCCAAGTTCAATGCCAACCTGGACAACTTAGTGAGACCCTGTTCCAAAATAAAAAGGCCTGGGGATGTAGCTCAGCAACAGAGCACTTGCATAACACACACGACACCCCAGTACTAACTACACCAACCAACCACAGAGCTTAACCATTATTTGGAAATGGGTCATTTGGGAAATACAAAATCATTATTTAGGCAACAACATCAGAAGATACTTTTAAAGGGGAACATTTAACATAAATATGCCCGTACATCTGCATGTATATACGCTGTGCAAGCAGCCTAAGGTCGTCATCACTGGACTCTAACGTAGCAGAGCACTGGAGTCCGGAGTTCTTAGCTCTTTCCCTTCCACCTCTCCACCCACAGATGCAGGGTCCTCTACTTTTTTAATACGTACCAAGGACAGTGATGATCCATCTTAAGAACACATCTAAGGGACAAAGAAGCGTAAGACAGCCTGTGAAGAAAATTCTTCTGATTCCTCATAATTTTCTTTCAGTTAAAATTTCCCTTTACAAAAGTGCCTTAACAGAACCAACCCAGAAACATCAGGTTGGAGATAATTTCTGGTATTCCCACAAATACTTTCATGCAGCAGAAGCCACACTCTCTCACAGTGGGAACTCAGCTGAGCATGCCTAGGTGCACAGATACATCGTCTTAACCCTCAGACGTGGTGGACGCTATTCGCTGTTAGCCAGGTCCAGCTCACAAGGTAGATTAAGGAAATGAAATGCAATACAGATGAACCCTGTTACTTTAAATATGTACAGAACACGAAAATAAAACTTTAGAAGCAAGTATGTCAGAACATTAACACTGATTGGCTTGGAGATGGTTATTTTTCCCAAATACTTTATCAAATTTTACCATATGGGTAATCCTACCATGTTTTCATAATAAGAAAAAAATCCCAAAATTCAAAATATGCCTCCCTAGCAGTGTATGTATCCTATATTTATATAATGTTACGTGACAGATGATACCACGGTATAATAAAGACTAACCTCAGATCCAGTGAGTACTTGGTCTAACTAAAAGTCCAGTACCAGCCGAGATACCCACACTAACAATCTACATACTACTTTCTCACACTGCCTAAGGACCGAATCAAGTTTTCCTGGGGAAAATGTGAAGAAGATAGTTGAAAACTGTTGGAATTTTGTTTTAAGTTCTACTATTAACAACAATACTGCCAGGCATGGTGGCACACGCCTGTAATCCTAGCACTTGGGAGGCTGAGGCAGGAGGATCACTGTGAGTTCGAGATCAGCCTGGGCTACAAAGTGAGCTCAAGGCTGGCCTGAACTGCATAGCGAGACCCTCTCTCAAGAAGACAAAAAAAACAAAACAAAACAAAACAATACTAAAAGCAAAGAAACCATCCTTATGGTCTTTTAAATCCAGGAAATTGTTACCTTTCACAAGGGGATTATTATTAACTTATTCATGAATATTGTATTGAACACAAGCAGAGAGAGCATATTTAAGGCTAACAAAATTCTACTAACTAGTAGACAAACTGTTACCGAAGAATACTTCTGGGTATATTCCAGCTTCCATAAATATTCTGTTAGTTCCACAGACTTAGCAAATACCGTAATGGCAGAAGACGAAGCATATTTGCTAAGTGTAAAGCACGTAAAACGCTCCTTCTGCCGCCGATTTTCAATACTTGGTACAAGTGAAAGAGAAAGCAACACTACTTACGTGTCACACGCTGAGCAGTGATGGGCCCGATCGGGTTTAATCAACTGACACTTTTCACAATATCTTATAGCTACAGGAAACAAAGCGAAAGAAAGATGTTAAGGGTTCATAAACCTAATTAATTTTGAATAAAATTTGACTTTAAAGCATCAATTACTCTGGAAAACTGACAATCAGTAATTTTTAAATAATACCAAAACACACCAGAGAGCTTCTCAAATCAAAGTGTCACGAGACAGGAGAGGACCTCAGTAGTTATTTTCCCAGCTGTTTTCAACTGAATGAAGCACATGCAAACCTAATAAACGACGTGGACAAAGTCCAACGCCCAGGTGAGCAGCACAAGTAGGCGAGAGCTCAGATTTTTAGTAAGTCCCAAGTTGAGTATTTTCTCTAGCTGTATAGGAATGCCCACGGTTAACTCTAGAAAGGTACCCGGTAAGGCACCCTCCGGGGCTTGGCTTTTGAAACCCTTGAAGCATTATTAAACACACACACACAGCAAAGCCTCTTACCTGCCAGCCAGACACCAAACAGCACACCTAAAAATCGTTCTGAAAAAACCTGGTTCCCACTAAATATAGGCTACTATTGCCCAATTCATATGTCCGTTCATTCAAGAGACACGAAGAACCAACCAGAAGCCAGAGACCATACGAGGCAGAAGTCCCTACTTTCATGGAATTTATGTTCTACTGAAGGACATGAGTAATAAACACGTTAACTAAATACACAGCACATCAGTGACAGAAGGAAGGGGAATAGGGCACTGCTGTTTGAGAAACATCGGGGAAAAGTGTAATTGCGAGAATCGAGCTCCTAAGGCGTGCAGCTACCCAGAAGGAAGAGCAGTTTCAGAGGCGGGCGCAGGTCTTGAGGCAAAAGCACGCTTGGCTTGTATGAAGAACAACGAAGGACAGACGTCTTCACCACAGGGTTGTTTTTAATAAAACATCAGGAATAATCTGACTTACAACACGAAAGAATTTTATGGTATATCCATACGGTGAAATACTATGTAGGTGCTAACGAAGACTTTCCGCACAAACACAGCTATGTCCACAAAGCAGACCGCAGACTGAAATGCACTCGCTCACGTTAAGGGGCCTGTACCGAACAGAAACCTCACGGGTTTACCTGTACGAGCTGAACTGAGACGAGAGCAGAGACGGCAGCCAACCCCGCTAAGCTAGCAAGACTGCACTTACAGCCCGACAGGAAAGCCGCTCTGGAATGGCATCTGTGTGCTGCTTGTCTGTACCTTCCTCAGCTTTTTACACTTTGCCTGTGAAGCCCAGCCCTGCACTCACTCACCCAAACTCCTCTTTCCTTTGTAAACTTTGTAACCCAGATGCCCCAGTTCCTGAATCACCAATCAAAGCCATTTTGATCTTGAAAGCTGAATTTGTTGAAATTTTGCTTTTGACAGAGCTAACATAGAAAAAAATACATTAAATGGAAAAAAGGAAATCAGACAGTGGTTTGAATATACACCTGTTTCCATCTGCAAAGGGAACTGTTTTCTTTTTACACATATGACGACCCTATCCCCATAAAATGCATACACCTTCCAGAAGTGAATTAACGAATGTAAGAGACAAAATGTATTTTAAAGCAACATGAGAAGGTACACCCGACAGCTCTATTCAGATAATCAAACCTGCACTGTTAACATCTCCCCACCCCATCTGTTCACTGTGTGTCCACAAGTTTTGCAACGCTCTACTCTGTGTAAGGCTTTTCTAGCTTCAGCTGTTGTGTACTGACACACAGGGGGGCTCTCCAGCAACAGCCCGGGGGGTGGGCAGGTGGGCGCCTGCAGCGCAGGTGCACAGCACCAGTGCACAGGGAGGCAAGGAGGCTGAGGTGACGGGGAGCAACCGGGGCCAGGCCACGGTCTGGCACAGCAGACCCACTGCCCTACGAGAGCTGCAGAATGAATTAACATAAAAGTAGCTATCAAAGGAAAAGCAAACTTGGGTTTCCTGTCTAGACAGTGCCAAGAACAAAAATAAAGCCAGGTTTTGCTGGGGTGAAGGCAGAGTGCTTTTTCATGCATCCAACCAATAGTCAGAGTTCTCACGTGGGACAAACACAGATAGATGCTGAGAATAAAAGAACACAGCCGACTAACCATCTGCCCCCACGGGCCGAGGTTGTAAATGGGTGAGTCTGCTTTTTATGAGTTTGAAACTTTGGACAGTAGGTCAAAAAGAACACTCATACTTCGGAAGCAGAAAATACAAGAATGAAACTCTTCACAGATGCTGAATTGAAAGCCACGCGCCAAGAGGAATGAGGACTTCTAGGCAACCGTCACTGCATGCTGCAGGGCAGGAGTTCGGAACCTGCTCTTCTGGATACACAGGAAGAGTGCTGCACCAGAGTACACGCTGAACTCAGGCCGCTCCATGGACACGTAACCCTTGTACACAGCAAGGGATTTAAGAGAAGGTTAGGGGAGGGGAGAAGAAAGAGAACGAGAACGGAGATCCAAAGACGTAAGCGGGATCCAGGAAGCCAGTCCGCAAAGGTGCACTGCAGCACCTGCCCCGGGGCGGCACGGTCAGCCCACGGCCAGGCCTGACACTATTCGCCCACTTCCTCGTTTGTGACCTTGGATCTGTGACCTCCCAAAACCATCAATTTTTCATCCGCAAGTATGAATAATACCAAGGATACAGACTATTATGAGGATTAAAACTAAATGCTAACCCATATTAGATTCACCATAAATCAGTTGTTATCATGATGCTATTACTACTAATAAATATCATTATTATTTATGACAAAAAAATAAAGTCAGACTCAAGTGAGAAAATTTAGTACAAGAGAATATTCACAGCTGGGCAAAGTGGGGCACGCCTGTAACCCTAGCTACCTAGGAAGCTGAGGCGGCAGGATTACAGTTCAAGGATTACGGGGCAATTTACAAAGTCCCTTTCTAAAAAATTTAAAAGGGTTGGGGATGCAGTTTAGTGCGAAGGCCTTAGGGTTGAATTCTCAGTACTACATGAGTGCACAACTCCCACCCCATCTGCAAAGAGATGATGTCAGGAACAAATTAATTCAAATACCTACTGAGTGTCCACTTAGCGAGACACTGTACAGGGACTGCGGATGAAACTCCTGACCCCCGGAGGCTTGAAATAAAGTCAAGACGGTTAGAGGAACACTGAACAGTTGGGCAGTGATTTACGATGTACAAGGCAGGGATCTCAGAAGTTCCCACTCAGCTTCTGAAAGAATCACACTTACTAAAGTAAATAGAAATGGGCTGAAAAGAGATGGATGCTGAATTAAAACTTCAAACTAGACTTACAGAGAAGAACACCACGCTTCCGGACAAAGACAAGAACAGCGAAGAAGACAGAGACTCGGCCCGGCTCAGAGCAGCAGGCCCGAGCGCGGGAGCGCCGCGAGGAACACCCCAGCCAGGCTGGCCCTCGCCGCGCTTCCGAGGGGAGGGGCTAGAAGAATTCATTTGGTTTTCGGAGTGGATAGTATGTTCAAATGGTTCAAAAAGTGCGACAAGGGCTGAACGTGCTATTCTATGCCTGGAATTCCAGCACTCAGGAGGCTGAGAAAAATCCCAAACTCGTGTTCAACCTGGGCTACAAAGTGGGACAATCTCAAACCAAACCCAACCCAACCCATCAACCGAAACAAAACGAAATGGGAATTGATGCAAAGTATCATCTCTGTCCTCTAGCCTTCAGCTCCAGCTCTTTGATACTCTTTGGTATCTGAAAGGCCCACTTTCTTCAACGTATGTATCTGTAATTTTATTTTTTAAAGAACAGACAGGAATTATTTCTATTACAAGAGAAAAAAGAGTCAGGCGTGGTGGTGCATGCTAATCCCAGCACACGGGAGGCTGAGGCAGGAGGATCACTGCAAGTTCGAGACCAGCCTGGGCTACAAAGTGTGCTCAAGACCAGTCTGAACAGCACAGTGAGACCCTGTCTCAGAAAGACCAAAAAAAGAAAAAAAGAGGAAACTCAGAATGCGGAATTCTGGGCTACAGAAATGTAGTACCCCGGTGCTGCAGAACACAGGTTCCCCCCGAGCCCCAGCCCTGGCCACGCAGGCTCCGGCTGCCTGGTGGTGGCTCATCCTCTCATCTCTACCATGGTGATGAGCCCAGGCCCATCTCAGGCGCTGAAGTGCTGGACAAGGGTCTGGGGTAACAACAGAGGACGGTGCTAGTTAGATTACAGGAAAGGCATTACAGTGAATAAAAAGCAGTGAGGCTCTAAAATCGAGTTTTTACAGCAATGGCCCTTTACTTTGGGGGCATGTGTACCACTCTGAAAATAGATGACTTTGTCATGAACAGGCTGTTTTGGAAACTACACATACCAAAAATTCTGCCTATGATCTCAGGTTCATAAATTCTCTGAAAAAAATGAATGACAGATTAAAAACTCCTAATTTATAGAATTACAACTACTAACAATTATTATAAACCAGACTTCTCAGAATTGACTGTAAAAAGGGGTTATGCTAAATTAGCTGTCATTTACTGAGAATGAAATCTGGGGGCTGGGGATTTAGCTCAGCGGCAAAAGCGCCTGCCTGGCAAGCGCAAGGTCGTGAGTTCGGTTCCCGGTACCGGAGAAAAACCAAAAAAAAAAAGAAATCTGATGAAAATGTATTATATGCCAAAATATAGTATACTAAGTGTTTTACATTTATTATCTCATTTAAAACTTTCACAAACCTAGAGATGTAGATATTCTTTTTTGTGTGTGTGTGTGTGACAGGGTTTCGCTATGTAGTCCAGGCTGGCCTTGAAGTCACTATGTAGCCCATGCTGGACTGGAACTTGCAGTGATCCTCCTGCCTCAGCCTGCCAAGTGCTGCGATTATAGGTGTGCACCACCATGCTCAGCGTATGTGCATTTTAAAGTAAGAAAACTAGGGCTTAGAAAGTTTAAGTGACTGGCACAGCAATAGTAGTAGAAAAGTGAAGGTTTGATTTACAATCCAGATTTCCATTCTGTGCTATAATATATCAGTAATGTAGAAAGGACTGTGTTAAATATACTTTTAAAAGTCACTCCAATATCTCTTCCTCTCATGATGTAGAAACTAAACTTTCTTGGGTCACAGTCTGTACACAGCTGCACGAAGGCAGAGCTCCTCCTTCCCTTGAAGTTGGGAAGACCAGAGGGTTCTGCCATGAGCACCTGGATGCAGATCCTTGTGTTGTCCCAAACTGCCCATATGACTGTGAACACATCTTTTCAACCCCTCTGCACCTGTATGGATGTAACCTGACCTAAATGCAGCCATCCTGAATTGTAGCTGCTACCACGAGCACCCCAGAGTAACCCCAGGCACTTTTTTCTCAGTAGCTGCCCAGCGTAGCGCTGAAAGGTCAGACTGCTCCATAAGCTGACCGGTGAGCCTTGCACAGCACACTTGTGGAAGTTCGCAGCTCAAGTGTCTGCAAGTAGGAGACTCAGTGTGTAGAGCAGATGTGGACCCACCGGACTAGGTCCTTTAGCTTGGGTCAGCCAGGTACCTTTGTACCTAGACGTCACTCGGTCCTCACCACAATATCCATCTCTCCCGACCCAAACTGGGCGTATCCACTTGGTCTTTCTCCCACTGCGACTGTCAGCAGTTCCCCCAAATAACTGCACTTTACGCAGTCATGGATCTGTCCTTTTCTTTAGTCTGCAGGCCTCGCAGTCCAGTTCTCACACCTGGGGAAGGGGTTGTGTGGGGACATGACCTGGTTTCCTCATGGGCAAAATGGTGACTGTGGTATGAACCTCCCAGCTCTGTTGGGAAGTTTAAATGAATTCCTACGCATGAAGTACTCAGCACACAGTAACTGTTAAGCTGCCAGTACTCTCCAGTGCCTGACTTCCTGTGCGGCTTGTATCTGCATGTCCCCGCAAGGCCTCACGCACTCACAGGTGGGGCTTCTGGGAGGTGGCTGGGTCTAGGGTGTGTGACGCTGGGATCCGTGATGCGATGCCAGGATTAAAGGTGGGCATCCTGGGTAAGATTTAAGTGACAGAAAGAGGGTCGTCACTTGGATGCTTTGCTGCCTTCTGCCTGCCATAAACTGTTTCCCCTCTGTGATGCCCCTCCGCCACACCACCCTGCCGTGGAGCCAGCCCATTATGGGCTGAAACCTTACAGACTGTGAGCTAAGTAAATCTTTTCTCCCTTAGCTTTGGGTGGTAAGCGTTTTGTCTTAGCACTGAGGAAGGTAACTAAGGTACTTCCTGTATTTAAATGGTCAGCCCTACCCCTTGGGACTCCTCCCTGCCACAGGGCTGAGCCCTGAGGAGAGGAAGCTGCTGCGGTCAGGACGAGAGCGGAGACGGGTACTGAAGAAGCGCCACAGGCTCTGGGGACAGACAGAGCTGAACTCGCAGCTGGGCCTCGGAGTTCTCAGCTGTACAGCTCTGGGCGAGTTTCTCCTCCTCTGTGGCTTTCACCTCTCCCCTTTCTCAGCACATTCCTGCTTTTCTGTATTAGTCAGTGATGCTGCACAACAGTCAAACTCAAAAAACAATTCCCAAATGAAGGTTTACTGGAGACGTTTAGCCATGAAGGCTCAGTTGGGTAAAGAGAAAAACAGACTCACGTTAAAGCGGGCCCTAATCCACGCTGGTATCTTCATCACATGCTTTTATCTGAAATACCACAGAAGGTGCAGAGAACAGGAAATTTTGTTCCCAAGGATGCTATTTATGGAAATCATTATAACCACCATGCAATATATCCTGGCAGAAATGAACACATTTAAAAAATCCTCTGGAAAAGAAAGCTTAAGATTTGTTTTCTTACTTTTTGAAGCCGTTGTGGTATAGATAGGTAAGTCTCTTGCTGCTCTTCTCAAAATTTCTTGTTGTCTTTCTTGGCTGAATTCTTTTATATAAGCTTCCTTTTCAGAAGTGGACAAGTAGAACTATAAAAAGAAAAAATTATTACATTTTTAAATCCCAAGATGTTAACTTGAAATCGATGCTCAGAAAGAAGTTTTATCTAGAACAGAAAAATACCCTACAAATAAAAATACCCTACAAAGTTCTTAACTGTGAGATAAACCAAATATATTCTTAACAAAAACTACATACAAATTTTAAAAATTTACCTCCCATACCAATGATGGGACAGAATATGAGCTCAACGCTTTTGCTTTTTACAAATAAAACTAAATTCATTAAAAACATTTTTGGGGGTGCACTGGGGCTTAACACATTCGCGGAGGGGCTGTAATGGAGATGCTCTGCTGCAGGTGGCTCTGAAGCACCAGGGGTGCATGTGCTGCTGTTCCACTGGCTGCTGGGGACAGTCCCATAGACAGCAGAAGCTGCCCGATGGGCCGCTCTCACATGCACCACTGGTGGTTCAAGCCGGTGGGAACGTGTTAAACCCAGTCTTCCCGGTCCCCCAAATGTCTTAGTATGTATTTATTTAGGGTAGGGCTGTAGCTCAGAGGGTATGGCACTTGTCTGCTATGCGTAAGGCACTGGGGTCAGCTTCCAGCACCACCAAACGAGCAGAGAGGAACACACACACGTATACACTTTTTTCCTCAGGTAAAAACGTGTTATTTGAAGTTACTGCTGGGTAGTATTTAATTTCTGAAAGGATGTCCAACGCTCATCTGCTTCAGACAGCAGGTGACATCACTGGCTGGGGTTCTGCTACTTCTTGGTTATACGTCTCAACGAGGGCAACACTCAACTTTTCAAAAGCTACCAAACAGCACTGCTTCCTCCAGAACGATCAGGAAGCCTCCTCACGTCAAGGAACAGTCCCGTACAGAGCTGTTTTGCCGTCTGAGTGTTTGCTGTCACGCCGCGCCTCCTCTGCCTCGTTTTTCTTTTGTTGTCCTGTACTGGGGTCGGACTCCCGACCTCGCGGTGGCCAGCCAGGTGCTGTGCCGTGGAGCCATCTCCCCGGCTGACTCGCTTCTTGTAACAGAATTTCACCTACCAAGTACTTGTCCACTGCTCCTCTTTTCTCCTTTACCCAACATCTTGAGGACCCTCCTTTTGATGCCTTGGTTTCACGTAACCAGAAATTTTTAAGTGTCTATTTCAGATTTTCTTTATAAAATTAAAATAAAAATGGCTTGAGACTCCCTCTTAATCATGTTTTGTATTTTTAACAACATCGCTCAATTTTTATTTACTTGTAGGATTTTTATTTAGAAAGTCAAAGGAACGGTAACTGGAATTCTAGCTTCACCTATTGAAGGCATGTTTTGGTCTAACTTCTAACTCCACCACTAAAGCTTATTTCTGTTCTGCTATAAATAAGGCAACGACTTGGCATAGTACAGAGGGCTCTGCACTGGGGAAATTATGATTCCAAGAGAGTCAGAAAAGTTCTGCAGATTACAGGACTATGGGCAGAGCTCATATAAAAACTAGAGGTCTTCTGCACTCTACTGTAGTGTATTTTCCTCTGTATTGCCATCATAAACTGTCCTTTCTTTTTATAGATTGTTACTCTAAAGTGACTAAGTCCTGTAACTCAGGAAAGGGAAGAGTCTATTTAGATGTTCCGAGCTCAGCTTCCACAATTAAAAGTACACTACACATAGCAGTCAGAAAGATTCACATGATCTTCAATGTGAAAATCTTTAAGACTTTGGAGGTCCCTTATCTCCTACCACACGCTGGGCTCTGAAGACATTTGACAGATTTATCCCCTCTGGAATCTTTTCAGAGAGAAAAATCAGATCACAATGTCAAATATACATCTGAATGGGAGAGGATCTGATCAAGCTTTAGTTTTCTTGTACAATCTCAACCGATTTCCCTAGGTTATACTATTTCTAGTCTTAGCTTGATACTCTTCTATTCAACCTTTTCTTTAAGTTTATAAAATTATAAAAAGCTTAAATGAAATAAAAATTTAAAAAGTCTATTTTCATTCCAAACTCTTCAGTGTAACTCAGGTTTGTGAAATGCCCTTCCTGTCTTCTTTGGTTTTTGGGACGGGAGGTGACAGAGTTTTGCTGTGTAGTTCAGGCTGACCCTGAACTACGTAGCCGGGTTAGCCTCAAACTCACTGTGATCCCACTGCCTCAGCCTCCCAGGTCCTGAGATTACAGGGACGTGCCACCACGCCAGGCTACTATCTTCAACTCAGTGTTTAAGTATATATTAAGCTACGGAGTACAGCTCTGGGGTAGGCTGCATTTGTGTGTACAATGGCCTGAGTTCAACCCCCTGCATCAAAACAATTAAAATTATTTTTAAAAAACATTAAATGTTACTGATGACTTGAATGATTGAGACGGTGTGGCCTCAAATGCCTAGATTAAAGTGACGCCCCTGCCTCAGCCTCCTAAGTGGCTAAGACCAAAGGCACATGCCACAGTGCTGGCAATAAACATACAGAAAATCCTAATTCAGAGATAGGCACTGACTCAGATCTTATATCCAAAGCTGAGTATAAAGCCTTTCCTTTAAAGAAGTAAATTCTCAGCCCGGCATGGTGGTGGTGCCTATAATCCCAGCACGGGGGAGGCTGACACAGGAAGACGGCAGCAAGTTCAAAGCCAGGCTGAACTATGGAGCAAGACTCCTTCAAAACGCCAAAGGAAAGGGGAAAAAACAAAAAGCACAGGCTAACAGGAAAGTTAGCCGAGAAAGCAAACAACAGCCAAATACGCATCAGCCTAAATATGCAGTCAATACTTTAGCAGGTGCCATGAAAGGTCTCTTGAGAGGCTGGAGGAGCTGCCCATGGCTTACTTGGGGACGGAGTTCCTCAGCTATAGTACCTTTTTAAAGACAAACATCCGCCTTCCAGGAAGACAAAAGAAAGAGAACAGCGCATGGAAGCACAAGGACGAGGAAACACGCGGTGCATTCAGCGTGAAAACCCTGGGCCGTAGAGCTCCACACTGCAGCAGCAGAGACGGGGCTAGGACACGCTTAGTTCACGGAGACGTCCGGGTACCACGCAAGTGAGCACGAGCTTTACCTCAGGCAGACGGACGACCCTGAGGACTAAACCCGGAGAGCGACGGGATCACACCTCTTAGAAAGGACGACAGCGGGTGACGGGACATGTCTACCAGCTACTCACACGCCGCTCCTCCTCGTGACCCTCCACTCAGCTTTCTACGAATTCACCTATTATACACAGGGTCTAATCTGGGTGACGGGGATAAAATAAGGACAGATCTTTCCTTCAAAAAGCGCAGTGGAAGAAGTATTTTTAAAGGTCATAGCTTGAAAGCCACTTCCTGGGAGGATTTCTTTGGCCACACTACCTAAAGGAGCTTTCGCTCTGCTACGCTCTATCATACAATGCTTTTTCTAAATTTATCTCAATGTTATAAATTAATCACAATTTACAATTATTTGCTCATTTAACATCTGTCTGTGCATGTAAAATGTATTTTTTGTCTGAGACAGGGTCTCACTATGCAGTTCAGGCTGGTCTTGAGCTCACTTTGTAGCGCAGGCTGGTACTGAACTCACAACGATCCTCCTGCCTCAGCCTCCTGAGTGCTGGGATTACAGGCATGTGCTGCTACGCCTAGTGTGTGTAAAAATGTAAAGACTATTGTCTTTCTTCTTTTTTTTAATCCTCTGAACCTAGAACAGAGTCAGACAGGTATTCAGTAAGTTCCCACTGAATGAAGAAAATGGTGGAAAAATCTGTTCTTGTAGCTTTCCTAAACACCTACTTCTTGACTTTTAACCTAATCAGTTCTCCTAGGCCTGACTCCAAAACGTTGCTCTAACTCCTGAACTAGAGCCCTCCTAAGACAGCTGCATGAGCGCCAACCTCAGCCTTAGGCCTGCTCCCACGGCACCGTCTTAACTGGCACTACGTAAGCTCAGTGAGCAGGACAGTCTTACATTCGTCTTCTCGGCTGTCACTAGGGCTGAGCTTAGCTGGCTCCTGAGCGTTTCATAATTTAATAATTCTTTCAACACTTACTGAACAGCAGCTACAAGCAAGATTGGTGATGGGGGCCCAGGACGTAGCTCAGCGGCACAGCGCCTGCCTGGCAAGCACAAGGTCCTGAGTTCCATCCGTGGCACACACAAAAAAGAAAAAGACTGGTGGTGGCGGCTGGGAGGACAGCAGCAAATCTGACGGCAATATCCCTGTTACAGACTTACAATTTATTAGGCGATGCATGAAAGTTAAGATGCAATTACAATACTAGCTGATGAGTTCTGTGACAGGGCAGATGTAGAATGTTTCTGGATAAAGGCTTGAGCAGTCAGATGAGTTTACAGGAGTGAAGACGGAAGGTACAGTGGATCTAAGGTCTTAAATGAATGCAGTATGCTGAAGCAATAACCGGAAAAACACCACTCAGATAGCACTTACTATGCGTTAAGCATGAAGTACTTTACAAATATTATTCATCATACAAGTTGTAACTATCCACGTAAAGTTGATTCATTCAATGCTTCCAATGATTTCATTGGTATGTACCACTACAGCCCCGACTTACGGAAGAGGGACTAAGCAGTCTCCAGTCACACAGCAAGCAAATGATTTGGTTTCAGAAATTGGACAGTTTTTGTTTTTTTTTTTTAGACAGGGTCTCGCTATATAGCCCAGGCTGGCCTCAAACTCATGGTGGTCTTCCTGCCTCAGCTTCCCAAGTGCTGGGATTATAGGCGTGCACTACCATGCTTGGTTTGGTTCTAGAATTTGCGTTCCCAACCTCTACACTATTCTTCTCCAATATATTTCAAGTTAGTTTTTCTTTTTCTATTTTGTATTACTGTAATTGTATTTTTGTATTTACTTCTTACATGTGCTATATTTCCAGTGATCATCATTACTAGTAATTGAGTAAGTAAAATTACGTCTTTTTCAATTTAAGAGATTAAGAAATGAATAGTAGTTTGTAACACATGTTAAGGGATGGTTGACTATGGTCAAAGGCTCAAAGAATATCTATAATGAAACATGAAGTGTGATTTAGGGTTTATTTTACCTCAGAACAAAAGCATGTATCCAGAATACAGAGCAAATGACCATGTGACCATTTTTACTAATTTTGACTGCATATTTAATATGATAAGAGCAGTTTCTTCCAGGGATCTACCCAAAGGAATTAGAGAAAAGCACAAGGATGATTACAGCAGCCTCATTTCTAACAGTTCTAAATCGAACTCCTTCCAAATGCCTATCAATGAAAAGCTGGTAAATATAATTTGTTATATACTGTAACTGAATACCAAGCAACAATGAAAACGAATGACCTAGCCCTGCACAGAGCGGCACAGGTGACGCTCACAAATACAACAGCAGGGATGGCAGAAGGCACACGCACCAACGTAGGAGACTACTAGTATGTGTATACTCCTAACACGAGTGTTCGTGCTAAGGACAAACAAGCAAAATCCGTCTCTGCCATCAGGAGCGGGAGGCACTCCCCACGACAAGGGGACCGGAAGGCGCACGCGGAGGCTGAGGGTGCCGGGAACGGTGTTCCTTCGGCCTGGCTGCTGGCGCTCCACAGGTGTATTTATCCAGTTCTTTCACCGAGTGTGTACTTACGACATGCATACTCTTCTGCGTATACGTTCTCCATTAAAAACAAAAATATATGACTTTACACTGTTATTGAATTTTGAAAACCAACATGAAGGGAAACAACTATACTATCATCATCTAACTTCTGAGTAACACTCCTGTGGTGGGCACCGAGTTACAAGATTTCCTTGGAGAGGGGCTGGGGATTTAGCTCAGTGGCACAGCGCCTGTCTGGCAAGTGCAAGGTTGTGAGTTCGATTCCTGGTACCAGAAAAAAAAAAACCAAAAACCAAAAAAAAAAAAGATTTACTTGGAGAAATCTCAGCCCTCAGAAACACCGTGCAGCAACGGCACGACTGTTAGCTCCATTTTCTGAAGAGAAAATGGAAGGTTGGAGATTAAGTAATGTGTGAGAGCAGGAAATCAAACTCAGCCCCTCCTGACTCTAGAGCAAATACTCCCCCCCACCTGGCGACACAGAATTTTCAGTGAAGGAAGAAGTCAACCTACTGCACAGAAATGTTTACCTATATTATTTTCTAAGTGGAACCTCCAGTTAGGAGAAAACCCAGTCATAATAACACGTGGCAAGGCATAGCCTGCACAATTTCCCCCACAATTTAACAATTCTCTTCAGTTCCAGCATATCGGAGAAGATATAAATAAGCTCTACTTCTCAAACTCAGTTCTGTCCCTAGGCTGTTCGTACTCCAATAACACAAAGTGTATGTGTCTTTAAGAAAAGATGGGGCCGGGGATGTAGCTAAGCGGCACAGCACCTGCCCAGCAAGTGTGAGATTGTGAGTTCGATTTCCGATACAGAAACAAAAGAAAAGGTGGCATGGCAGCAAAGTATTACTAGACTCACTATGCTATGTCAGTGAATCCGTCTGAGAATAGGGTGGCGACTCACATTCACAATATGGTTTTAGTAAGCAATTTCATGAACGGAAACACAACAGATGTATTACATAATTTTAACATAGGTAACACAAGGGAAAACAATTCCATAGTAAGTTAAAGCATTTGGTAAGTTACCAACATTAAATTTACCTCTTTGGAGGGGGTAGCGGGAGATGTGAATATTGTCATCCAATAGGACCATACAAACATAACAAAGAACAGATGAAAAGCCACAAGGTAAACAACGGTCTTTCCTGGTAAATAAAAACAAATAATGTTTCATTTAATCCAGGTGAAACAAGAAAAAGCATTACATTAAAACACAATATTTGGATAAGGAGACTTAACCCAATAAAAATTTAATTAAGAACTTTGAACACCTTGAACAGTGAGCTCTTTTTATCTACATGATGCAACACTACTGATACAAAGGAATGTTCTGTCCCTGTATTGAAGGACTATCAGCCTCGTTATAAGTTACTGTGATTTAAGCCAAAAACACTTTTTCACTAGTAATACTTTATTTCGAGATTTCCTTCAACATTAATTTTAAATAACTTAAGAGTCATTTAAAACTATCCACCATTATGAACATTAAATCCAAGAAACTGTACACTGAAAATAAACACCGGAAGTTACCATGACCGAGAACAGTGAGTACGCCTGAACAACTCAATCTCTGCTGCACAGGAAAAGCGCCCTAACTTTCATTTTCTCATCCAGCGCAGGCTAATGAAAAAATTTTTAACCATGCTCAATTTCCACCACAACTGCCTCCCAGTGGGTCTGCATCACTGATAAACACTAAGCTTTTCTGTATGTGAGTGGTGTGTGTGTGTTCTGCAGTTTTTCTATTTCAAAGAAGGATTGGCTTCTGCAAGAAAGAACAATGTAAACAAGACTATCTACCAGGGCCTCGAACTCTTTTTCAGTTTAGGATGCAACACCACAGGCCCACTGAAGACGACAAAGTATAGACGAAGTGTACAAGTTTGAAATTCTACTTGTTCTTTAAGTTTAGATCAAATCTTCTTCCCCAAGGTAGTCTTTATTACTTTCAGAATTCATTACTTCTTCATACTGCATTCCCCAAATAATTTGCTCAGATTTTAAATAAAGCACTTCTTTCAAAAAAGTTGTTGAAGAATATGAAAACAACTTGGAACAGTGCCTGGCACATAATAAGTCCTCAGTAAATACTGGCTATTATTATAATCACTAGCCAGGCATAGTGGCACACACCTGTCATCTCAGCACTTGGAGGCTGAGGCAAGAGGACTATTGTGAGTTTGAGACCAGCCTGGGCTACAAAATGAGCTCAAGGCCAGCCTGAACTGCATAGCAAGACCCTGTCTCAAAAAGATCAAAAAAAAAAACAAAAATCAAGTTGTGTAGTGAGACACGGTGGTGCACAGCTGTAATCCTGGCATTCTAGGAGAGTGAGGCAGGCTTCAAGTTCAAGTACCTTAGTAAGACTGTCGCAAAATAAAAAATATATAAAGGGCTGGAAACGTAACTCAGTGCAAAGGTCCTGGGTTCAACCCCCAGTAGGCAATGAATAAACAGTTCCTGAAATTTGACCTCAATGGACTTCTGAAATACTCTTTTATTTGGGTAAAGTTCTGAGAGATGATCTTTCCCCTGTTTCTTTGGCTAGTCTTTTAAAAAACGTTAATTCCCTTGACCTAGTAATGCAGTTTACAAATTCAAAGTCTGATTATTTTATTAAATCTATGCATGTACTATTTTTAACAAACGCATAAGCAAAGAGAACCATCAGTAAGATTTAGATACCATGGAAGCTGAATCCCCTTCCTCAACCCAGGTAGAACTGACATTAAAGAATCTAAATAATGCTGGGGATATAGCTCAGTAGCACAAGTGCCTGCCTGGCAAGCACAAGGTCCTGAGTTCGATTCCCGGTACCAAGATAAATAAATAAAAATTCTGTCTTGTGGGGCACATGCCTGTGATCCCAGTACTCGGAAGGCAGAGGCAGGAGGACTGCCACGAGTTCAAGGCCAGCAAGAATTGCACAGTGAAACCCAGTCTCAAAAAGACAAAAAAAAAAAAGAAAAAAGAATCTAAATAAGGAGTTACAATGAACATACATGTGAAATACATACAGAAAGGTGCCTTACAAAATTATGGCTACTTCAACTCACATAAATAACAAAATGAGAATAAACTAACTTGGGGATTAAACCCAATTACTCAAATTTTAAAGAGATGTATTTGCTTTTATTTTTCTTTTGTACTTTTTTTTGTTTTGCTTTGGTTTTTTTCTTTTGGTACTGAGAATCGAACGCAGGACCTTGTGCTTGCCAGGCAGGCATTTATGCCATTGAGCTATATCCCCGGCCCTTGCTTTTATTTTTAAAGACAGGGTCTTGCAATGTTCCCCAGGCCAGCCTCAACCTCCTCTGAACTAAAGCGATCCTCTTGTCTTTGCCTCCGAGGACCGGCCCAGAGGCACATGTAACCGCATCTGATGCACACTCTCTTTGAAGGCAAAAACACTTGTAACTCATCACTAGAGAGAAAGCATGCGAGTTCCAACTAAGACGCCATAAGCATTCTACTCAAATGAGACCAAAGGTGCCTTACCATTTTCCGCACTTCTAGAAATTGTACCTAGAATAGAAGAAAAAACAGTGAATAAATACACTTTGAATATTTTTGTACACAGATTTTATTTCAGGTTGAATATTCACCTTAGTATCATTTTTACAAAATTTCAAAAACGTTAAAATGCTAAAGTTCAAATTCTTTATCATTCACAGTATAATCACTTAAAGCTTCTCTAGACCTTCACTACTCTCTAACAATTTCTTCAGCTCTTTCCTTAATAACCCTGCAGAAGGAACAGGGCTGTCCTCTACAGTACTATAACCTGGCATAGCCACCAGCCTGCAGCACGATGTGTTTCACCAACTTCCTTGTGAAAGCCGCACGCAAGGCAAATTTTCCTAAAAAATAATTCCACGGATTTAGGAGGAGTAACTTTACGGCATGTACAGTGATCTCAAATTAGGGTCCTCCTGTCTCCTCAGACACCTGTCATCTCCTTACGCTTGTCTCCAGTCCGTGCTGGTACACACTAACCAAGCCCTCTCTCCTCCCCGCTACCCTTTCCAGCGTCTAGCAGTAACTACTACTCTACTCTCGAGATGAACTTCTTGGCTTTTGTGCATGAAAGAATGGCTGGTACAGTTCATGGCAGAAGACAGCAAAAGCAACAGGAACAAAAGGAGGAGCAGGCGGCAGAGAGCAAGCCTCTTCGTTCCCTTCAGTGTACGCAAGCTGCCTGGCCCTAGGGTGGGTACAGCACTCATACCCATGATCCAGCATTGGACCGTGAGTCAATCTGGAACTCTAGAAGCCGCCCCACGACTGTGTGAGGCTTTGGGGACATCCAGACACAAACTATAATACTCCCCTTGACTGTGAAATTCCTGCAAAGGAATAACTCCACCTGCATGGCCAATGTACCTTAAGAAAACTCTGAGACTTCCTAGTTGCCATATCTGACTACAGCCACTCAATCACTATTATTGTACACTGATATACTTCTAACCCTCACAATAGTCTTGTATGGTATTCTTCAAGTTGGCCAACAGAAACACTGAGGCTAAGAGAATTTAGTACCTTGTCCAATAATATCAGTTATGAAGTGATAATGCCAGAATTCAAACTGTATCTATCTGCTGATAAAACTCCAAGGTTATTTGTACTATGTAATCCCTAAATTGAATTTTCTCCACTTTTAAACCATAAGTGGTCACATTCTAAGCCAACATCTGATGTCAAGATAAAATCCTACGACTTCCTTCCATTTTCTTTTTCTTTGTTTTTTTTTTTCCACTTTTTTTGTTTTTTTGAGACACGTTTTGCTAGGTAGCTCAGGCTGGCCTTGAACGCACAGCGATCCTCCCTCCCGCGCTCCCCAAGCGCTGAGATTACAGGCGTGCGCCTCCGTGCCCTGCTTTTCCTCCCATTTTCAAATGTGCTCTTCTCACTCCCACCACAGACTGTCACACACACGCAACATTCTGGCTTCTCAAAATCTGCACTGCCGTGGGCCAGGGACGGTGGAGCTTTCAGAGACCAGCGCCCGCACCGTAACCCAACCCACTTAGAGCGAGGTGACAGCACTGCCCTTGAGCCTGAATGCTAAGGCTCCGGTTAGAAACAACAACTCATGAATACCTTTTGTCTTAAAAGAAAAATGCCCGCGTGCTCTGTGCGTTAGCTCCTTCCAGGCAAACCTTGTGAACTACACAGCAGGCTCAAAATGGGTGCTTCAGTCGTCTACACATTTTAAAAAGATTCCTTCTCTCTGAGCACAGAACAAAAATGGTATGCTCTAAAATACATTCTCAGTTAAATAAAAAGTTAGAATTAATCTGAACATGATGCCTGAAATACAGTAAGTACTGAACAGGTAGTAACTACTAAGTTACAATAAATAATAATAATGATATAAAATATAGCTACCGAAGTGCAAAGTCACGTGACTTAATGGGCCAACTTCTCACACAGACATGCTATAAGCCATTGGTTGTAACAGATGAAGTAAAAACTTACGCTAAGTAAATTAAATCAAAGCTCAAATAAAAATCTGAGCCTATAAATCAAAAAGTCTGTGTTCAAAAATCACCAGAAACTAGCTTAAAAACACTGAAAGATTACTTGAGAGACATGGTAAAAATAATCCCAAGAAATAACAGAAACGTGAAAGTTCTTTTATAAGAACTTCTGAAATTCAACTTTATTTTTGAGGCAGGGTCTTACTAAATTCAGGCTGGGTTTAAACTTCTGCACCTCCCGCCTCCGGCCTCAGACTTGCAGAGTGCTGGGAGTACAGGTGCGCCAGGACGTCCAGCCGAGACTCTCTGCTTTCGGTTCCTGCGCTTTCAGCACACGGCACAGCTGTAATTTAAAGTGAGATAAGGCTACCAAGGCCGCTGTTTCTCTGCTACTGGAAAATGTGACGTACAGGTGAGCGTGCCTGCTGACCTCCAGCAGTAAGTACTTATCAATGCTTTCTGACTATTCACCTGCGTGAGAAACCCTCCACTTCTGCATGTAAAAATCAAGTTGTATAGTGAGACACGGTGGAGCACAGCTGTAATCCTGGCATTCTAGGAGACTGAGGCAGGCTTCAAGTTCAAGTACCTTAGTGAGACTGTCGCAAAATAAAAAATATATAAGGGGGTGGAAACGTAACTCAGTGCAAAGGTCCTGGGTTCAATCCCCAGCAGGCAGTGAATAAACAGTCCCTGCAATCTGACCTCAACGGACTTCTGAAATACTCTTTTATTTGGGTAAAATTTTGAGAGACGATCTTTCCCGTTTCTTTGGCTAGTCTTTTAAAAAAAGTTAAATCCCTTGACCTAGTAATGCAGTTTACAAATTCAAAGTCTGATTATTTTATTAAATCTATGCATGTACTATTTTTAACAAATGCATAAACAAAGAGAATCATCAATAAGATTTAGATACCATGGAAGCTGAATCCCTTCCTCAACCCAGCTAGAATTGACACTAAATAATCTAAATAAGGAGATACAAAAAACATACATGTGAAATACATACAGAAAGGTGCCTTACAAAATAATGGCTACTTCAATTCACATAAGTAACAAAATGAGAATATACTAACTTGGGGATTAAATCCAATTACTCAAATTTTAGAAAGAAATATTTGCTTTTATTTTTAAAGACAGGGTCTTGCAATGTTCCCCAGGCCAGCCTCGACCTCCTCTGAACTAAAGCGATCCTCCTGTCTTTGCCTCCCGAGGACCGGACCAGAGGCACATGTAACCGCATCTGATGCACACTCTCTTTGAAGGCAAAAACACTTGTAACTCATCACTAAATAGAAAGCAGGTGAGTTCCAACTAAGACGCCATAAG